GGCTGAAGGCCACAAACCTGGAGCCTCCAACACAGGCTAAGGGCCACAAACCTGGAGCCTCCAACACAGGCTGAAGGCCACAAACCTGGAGCCTCCAACACAGGCTGAGGGGCCACAAACCTGGAGCCTCCAAAACACAGGCTGAAGGCACACACCTGGAGCTCAACGGACACGAACTAAATCCAGAAAAATGAAGTCAAGAAGTGTAGTGCCTGAGTCTCCTGGCTTAATAAGGTTTTTATGGGAGTATGCGGAAGGTCAGAGAGAGGGAGGAGGAGGTAGGGAGCGAGGGAGAGACGGAGGGAGGGAGAGAGAGAGGAGGTAGAGAGGGAGGGAGGGAGAGAGAGAGAGAGGAGGTAGAGAGGGAGGGAGGGAGAGAGAGAGGAGGTAGAGAGGGAGGGAGGGAGAGAGAGAGAGGAGGTAGAGAGGGAGGGAGGTAGAGAGAGTGTGGGAGAGTCTGAAATAACCGGTCCAAGCTGTTTACTCGCACTGTGTAAACATCGTCTGAATGGCCACCTGCGACTAGCCTCATGCATCTCCATTTTTTCCCGTCTTGATTATTTAGCATTTTATATTTATTATTCATGGAAGGTGGTCGTTAAGTTTTAATTGGTAAATTATGTTTAAACTGACGTTAGTGTTTGACAATACAGGTGTTGACCAGACCACACACACTAGAAAGTGAAGGGACGACGACGACGTTTCGGTCCATCCTGGACCATTCTCAAGTCGATTGAGAATGGTCCAGGACGGACCGAAACGTCGTCGTCCCTTCACCTTCTAGTGTGTGGTCTGGTCAACTTACTTTAGCCACGTTACTGGGACTCGTCGCCTGCAATACAGGTGTGTAACTTTGGTTTTGTGAGTGTATGCCCTTTCTTCCGTTAGCTGTGTGTGTATTCTCCTATTTTAAAAAAGGACTTCCGACCTTTTTTATTCAATCACATGAACTAGGTCACCTATTGACCATCCCTATTGACCAAGGGGAGCCGGTCGGCCGAGCGGACAGCACGCTGGACTTGTGATCCTGTGGTCCTGGGTTCGAGTCCAGGCGCCGGCGAGAAACACTGGGCAGAGTGTCTTTCACCCTATGCCCCTGTTACCTAGCAGTAAAATAGGTACCTGGGTGTTAGTCAGCTGTCATGGGCTGCTTCCTGGGGGTGGAGGCCTGGTCGAGGACCGGGTCGCGGGGACACTAAAGCCCCGAAATCATCTCAAGATAACCTCAAGATAACCTCCCCAGGATGCAACCCACGACACTTGTCTAACACCTGCGTGCCCATTTACTGCTAGGTGAAAAGGTCAAAGGTCAAAGATAAGTTGCCTTCCCCCTCACCAGTCTACAGATCAGAAGGTCTTATATGCCCCTTATTTCTGACCATTACAGCGTCATAGAGCGACTATCCATTTTACCAATAGACACCTGTAATAGAAATAGTTCCAACACATTAACGGCTCGTAAGACGCTGGCACTTAATAACAAAATAGTCATTAATCTTTGTATCAATATCTCATTAATTAAACTTGTAATAACCATTAAACTCATTCGGGGTCAATAAGCTCATTAGAAATGTTAACTGTGTTAATTTGTTCATTATTTTAAGTTATTATAAACAGAGTACAACCCGGTACCAACGCTTCAACACTGCTTACAAGTTTATCTAATTTAGCATTTACCCACAAAAAAGGTTTACCTACAACCGCACCTCTCCTTAACCTGCCTTTTCACCCCCTCCCCCCTCTGCCACCACTGCCACCACTGCCACCACTGCCACCACTGCCACCACTGCCACCACTGCCACCAATCTCCCCAACCAGCGCCGTCACCGCCAACCCCAACCATTAACAACCACCCCCCCCTCCCCCCATTCCGTTAACACCACTCTTGATCCATTACTCCAGCTAATTCTATTTAGCACCATTAACTCACTTTCAGACGCAAATTGACTTCTTGTAACGTTATTAAGAGAGTAAAAATTCTACATTTCCAAAGTAGTCGAGTTTTCCTATTCTTTGCAAGCCGAGGCATAGATGTATACAGACTGAGCGAGGGGAAATATTGGACGATAGAGGGGAAATTCTGAGCGATAGAGGAGAAAGGGGCCTCGTAGCCTGGTGGATAGCGTGCAGGACTCGTAATTCTGTTGCGCGGGTTCGATTCCCGCACGAGGCAGAAACAAATGGGCAAAGTTTCTTTCACCCTGAATGCCCCTATTACCTAGCAGTAAATAGGTACCTGGGAGTTAGTCAGCTGTCACGGGCTGCTTCCTGGGGGTGGAGGCCTGGTCGAGGACCGGGCCGCGGGGACACTAAAAAGCCCCGAAATCATCTAAAGATAACCTCAAGAAATTCTGAGCGATAGAGGATAAATTCTGAGCGATAGAGGGAAATACTGCAAGAGATTAGAAATTCTAAGAGAGAGAGAGACCTAGAAGACAAAACCGGAGAGGGTGAGAAAGGAAAACAGAGCCAGACGGAGATAAAAGAAGATTTACAAGAGAAACAATGTGAGAGATAGAACTTAAAGAGAAAACTTGTATAAACTATAGAATGAGAGAGATACATAAATTTAAAGTAAGAGAAAGAGATTGAGAGAAAGAGAGAAGAGAAAGAGAGAGAGAGAGAGAGAGAGAGAGAGAGAGAGAGAGAGAGAGTGAGAGACAGCTTTTTTTAGATATGAAAATTGATGAATCCGAGTTGAAAAATTAATGAGCATGGTTTGATGAATTGATGAACTTCGCTTGAAAGATTGATGAGCCTATTTACTTCATGATGGGTTCGCGCATGAGGAGACTGACCAGCTAAAGATGTAGATAGTGATGATAGTATTAATTACAGGTGATGATAATGGTGAGGCTTGGTATGGTATGGGGTGGATGAGTTACTGGTCTTGATGATGCTAATGGTGGTAGTGGAGGTGATGTAGTGATGATAACGGAGATAGTGGTAGAGGTACTAATCATGTAGAAGGAAACAGGATGACTAAATCCGGAGAGGAAAGGAGGGAGGGAGGGAGGGATGAAGGGTTATCTTGAGGTTATCTTGAGATGATTTCGGGGCTTTTTAGTGTCCCCGCGGCCCGGTCCTCGACCAGGGCTCCACCCCCAGGAAGCAGCAGGAAGGGTAGGAGAGGAGGAGGAGTGAGGTAGGTGAGGGAGGTAGGTGAGGGAGGGAGAGAGGGAGAGAGGGAGAGAGGGAGCTTGCGGGCAGGTAAAGCTGTTAACAAAATACACCTGTTGGCTGCTATCACAGTGATTTCCCAAGGCACTCTTGTCGAGGTTACCGGCGCCGCCCCCCACACCACACCCCCGCAACATAATATTTTTGCCAGGAAGGTCATGACGCCTCAAATGGTCGCCGGAGGACGTTTGACAGACGCCCGGGAGAGGTTCTAGGAAGGGACGCTCCTTAAACCCCCAGCTTGACAGCGGCCAAGGGGGGTCCACGGAAGCTGGAGTCAAGGGTTTTACTTCAGTACGATTTATCGTCCTTTTATTGTTAATAGTTTTTATTGCACTGGACTCTATGTTCAGCAGTCATCTGTCTCTCTGGGTTCTTTAGTCTTTATTGTACTGGACTCTATGTTCAGCAGTCATCTGTCTCTCTGGGTTCTTTAGTCTTTATTGCACTGGACTCTATGTTCAGCAGTCATCTGTTTCTCTAGGTTCTTTAGTCTTTATTGTACTGGACTCTATGTTCAGCAGTCATCTGTCTCTCTAGGTTCTTTAGTCTTTATTGTACTGGACTCTATGTTCAGCAGTCATCTGTCTCTCTGGGTTCTTTAGTCTTTATTGTACTGGACTCTATGTTCAGCAGTCATCTGTCTCTCTAGGTTCTTTAGTCTTTATTGCACTGGACTCTATGTTCAGCAGTCATCTGTCTCTCTGGGTTCTTTAGTCTTTATTGTACTGGACTCTATGTTCAGCAGTCATCTGTCTCTCTGGGTTCTTTAGTCTTTATTGTACTGGACTCTATGTTCAGCAGTCATCTGCCTCTCTGGGTTCTTTAGTCTTTATTGTACTGGACTCTATGTTCAGCAGTCATCTGTCTCTCTGGGTTCTTTAGTCTTTATTGTACTGGACTCTATGTTCAGCAGTCATCTGTCTCTCTGGGTTCTTTAGTCTTTATTGTACTGGACTCTATGTTCAGCAGTCATCTGCCTCTCTGGGTTCTTTAGTCTTTATTGTACTGGACTCTATGTTCAGCAGTCATCTGTCTCTCTGGGTTCTTTAGTCTTTATTGCACTGGACTCTATGTTCAGCAGTCATCTGTTTCTCTAGGTTCTTTAGTCTTTATTGCACTGGACTCTATGTTCAGCAGTCATCTGTTTCTCTGGGTTCTTTAGTCTTTATTGTACTGGACTCTATGTTCACCAGTCATCTGCCTGTCTGGATTCTTATTGACCTTTATTCATTGGGTCAGTATCCATTTCCTCACCTGTGCAGTGTGTCGAAAGTAATAAATTAGCGAATGGTAAGTGAGTCTAACTCACCATGCTGAACTCTTTTATAATATGTAAGCATCTTATGCTGCGCTGACGGACACGGCTCACCTGGGCAGAGGATGTGCTCCCGGAAGAACAAAACTGACAACATCGTGGCACATCAGATGTCCCGTAGCATGCATATCATGCAAGCTACTTGCATATTACTGCAAGGTTACGAATAATCCTACTAAATAACTATATATTAGTCAAACTACCTTCAGATGTAGATAACTGTAAGAAAAATACTACATCATTCTAATGAAAAGTACTATACAACTCTACTAGATAAATGTTGATATATATAAAAGTACGGAAATGATATATCAATATCACAGAGCTACGTAAGGATACAATGAAGGGAAGGGATGCCCAACCACTTGGACGGTCGGGGATTGAACGCCGACCTGCATGAAGCCAGACCGTCGTTCTACCTTCCACCCCAAGTGGTCGGCCAAGGATAAAATGAGATGTAAGTAATGATCGAAATATGGCATCTAGCCGGGCCTATACTAACTCCCATGTCAGCAGAGATGGTCCTGAAGATGAGCTGGAGCGGGATGAGGGCGTCGATGGCGGAGCCGCCCGTCACGTTCCTCAGGAGCGCCTCCTCCGTCCTGCTGAACCCCACCAGCAGGAACAGTCCCGTCGGCAGGTCGTACTCCTCTGAAACAAACATGCACTCACTAGAGGCAGGGTTCTGTTGGCAGGTCGTACTACTCTGAAACAAACATACACTCACTAGGGGCAGGGTTCTGTCGGCAGGTCGTACGCCTCTGAAACAAACATACACTCACTAGGGGCAGGGTTCTGTCGGCAGGTCGTACGCCTCTGAAACAAACATACACTCACTAGGGGCAGGGTTCTGTCGGCAGGTCGTACGCCTCTGAAACAAACATACACTCACTAGGGGCAGGGTTCTGTCGGCAGGTCGTACGCCTCTGAAACAAACATACACTCACTAGGGGCAGGGTTCTGTCGGCAGGTCGTACTACTCTGAAACAAACATGCGCTCACTAGGGGCAGGGTTCTGTCGGCAGGTCGTACTCCTCTGAAACAAATATGCACTCACTAGAGGCAGGGTTTTGTCGGCAGGTCGTACTCCTCTGAAACAAATATGCACTCACTAGAGGCAGGGTTTTGTCGGCAGGTCGTACGCCTCTGAAACAAACATGCGTTCACTAGGGGCAGGGTTCTGTCGGCAGGTCGTACGCCTTTGAAACAAACATGCACTCACTAGGAATGATATGTCAGTCTCTCTGCCTGCCTCTCTCCTTTCTCATTTCCTCTCACTCACTGTGGCTACCTCTTATTCCCTCTATGCCAAGAGTAGACAACTTCTGACTCCTGTTGGCATGAATAGACTTTTCCCTCCCTTAGCTCAATCTTATGCCATACCCTTCTAGTTTTAGCTTCGGCACCACACGCTAATCGATTTATAACCAGGTCCTGAATTATAGCTGGGTGAACAGGAGCGAACAATTAATGATCGTTACTCAATCGATCCTCCCTTCCGAGGGCTCGAACCTGGTCGAAATTGATGACGAGGCGTGAGCCTGCCACCACTGGGCGACAGTGGTTCTAATTATGCTATGCCCATCATAATGACCTTACATTTGCTAGGGGTTAAACTCTAGTAGCCCCGTTCGTGACCATTAATGCAGCTTGCTCATATACTACTACAAATAGTTATTCTACCATCTTTCATTCCCATAATTCTCTTTAATTTCTCACCTGCAAACATTGATTTTAAGGATTATATTTTGTTCAGGCTGGCTGGTCACGAATATAACAAATATTAAGAACACACATTAACAAAAAACAAATATTAAGGACACATTAAGAACACAAAGAAAGAACAAATCCTAAGGGGGACTCTACTCGTGAAGTTCCATCCTTCAAACATACAATCACACAGACTCTGGCTTATGTTTCGAACTGATTGTCGCTTATTGTGTATCTGTTCTTCACCTTGCAGACTCTCCACCCATCTTCCCACCCCCATAACTCCCTCCCCCACCCCCCCCCCCAACACTGTCTCAAACTCACGGCTAACTCTAAAAGCTTGAATGAAATCCACTTTAGTCCAATTTCAAGGCAGAGCGAAAGTGGAGGAGGGCTGGACCAAGAAGAGGATTGGGAGAGGGGAGGGTGGTGCTCGATTGTAGGGCTTGGGGGGGGGGAAGTGGGGGATGGGGGGGGGGAGTGAAGTTAAGGAAGGGATGAGACAGTTATGGAAGAGGAGTAGGGAGGACACAGGGCTGGTGGTGGTTTTGTTTACAGTGTGATGATGTTAGGGGTCTCGTGTCTGGATATTGAGGGGGTAGGGTAGACCTGAGGGTGTAAAGGGCAACCATAGCTTTTATTCTGAGCTTAAAAGTCATCAAAATAAAAAGTACGTACACACACACACACACACACACACACACACACACACACACACACACACACACACACACACACACACACACACACACACACACACACACACACACACACACACACACACACACACACACACACACCCTTGTCCTAGTTCCATCAATGTTCCTTTAACACTTACAGCTCTTCCCGTGCTTCTCACCCTAGGCCACTCACCTTGCCTGGGTCTCTGGCAGATGAAATTGCCTGAGTAGCAGACGCATTTTCCGCGGTAGGCCTGGTAGGCCGGGGCGTTGTGGTGGTAGACAGCGTAGTGTGTCTCACAGGGCCGACTCACCACACACACTTCCACCTGTCAACAAACCAGGGACCAGGTATCAGCTGGCGAGTCTGATAATGATGAATTCTTTGATATCTTTTGAGATATCCCATCAACATTGTTGCAAACTCCAAGAGGTGAGATGCGTACACCACTCCTGCCTGCCCAAATAATCTGGTTATCGTAAAGTTATTTGATACGGATCTTAAAGCTCAAATATGAGGGTAGAATTCAATATTCATTTAAGATAAGTGATTGTGTGAGAGGACTGGAGGTGTGGGTGTGGAAGGTGGAGACGTTGGTGTTCAGAGATGGATGAGAGGATGTGGGAGGGATCGAGGCGCTTGTTTCGTTGTTTAAAGCCACGTCAGAGCGATAAACAAAAGACTGGCGAGTCGATATGCAGGTAGACACGAGACAATGCAGCCTGGCGGCCTTACCTTGCACTTGGTCTGCTCGTGAAGTTCACAGAAACACAGATCCGAACAGTCCTGATCGCCTTCCTTGTACAGCTGCGGTGATATATATATATACATGTGTTAGGTCGGGTAAGCTTCGTCTTGTGCTTCTCTTTGACAAATTTAGTGATGATATAAAATGGTGCAATCATATATTTATATATAAAGCAGATCATTCAGTGCACTCATATTAAAAGTATAGAGCACTTGGTGCGATATAAGCTAAAGCACCTAATGCGCTCATATATATAAAGTTTATATATATATATATTTTTAAGTACAGTCCAATTTCAGTAAAAGCTACAGGACCAAAATACTACCTCGTTTTTTTACGATTGTCACTCTGATGGAAAGTTGTAAGAGTATTGTTGTTGATTGTGATTGTGTAATGGGAGGCTCACTTACCCGCATGCTGTTGCCTTCTTCGATAATGTAGGTGTTGGTGTCTCGCTTCACTGCACAGTATCCTGTGAATACAAACGTTTCAGGATCAAGTACTGCCACTCACGCCTTGGTGTAAACACACAACAATTTCCACAGCAGACTGGAAGCTTGTGGTGTTAAATGAACGATTATTTTTAAGTCAACATTCCAGGGTGATGCACTGCCAATGACAGGCGAGGAGTCACAATAACGTGGCTAAAGTATGTTGACCAGACCACACACTAGAAGGTGAAGGGACGACGACGTTTCGGTCCGTCCTGGACCATTCTTAAGTCGATAGTGAGAATCGACTTGAGAATGGTCCAGGACGGACCGAAACGTCGTCGTCCCTTCACCTTCTAGTGTGTGGTCTGGTCAACACTGCCAATGACGTTATGGAAAATGTGAGGTCTTAAATATATTGATGGTGTCCAAAAGACAGCTTGTCCTCCTCGTGTAATTGGAGACACTCTTGGTCTAAGGCTTCAGTGATTACAACGATAAGTGAAACAGTGTTAAGAAACTGCTTCTTGGTCAGTCAATATCTTAATTCCCGTTGCTGTCGGGGACAGGAAGCCCGTGATTAGGCTTGTCGATGGTCCACTTTAGGGGGACCATCAACAAACCTCGATGGTCAGTTGGCCAACTACTGACCATCCCGAAAATGCCACCCCACAACAGCTGCCTAACTCCCTGGTACCTACTTAATAGAGATGAACAGGTGCATCAGGAGGAAACAACATGTATCCAACCGTTTCTGTCTTACCCGGGGACTGAACCCGGAGGTTTCGGTCGTGAGTCGAGGGCGCCACATGCCCTATTTATTCTTAATTCAACCGTTGTTATTTAGCAATAACAACATTGCTTAACAATTGCATTGTTATTTGTCTATACTAAGCAGCCCCGTCCTGAAGCCATGCTCGTCTAGGGTGCGCGCGCGCACGCTCGCCAGAATAAATTAACATATGTAAACACCTGAATATGATCTATTTACAAAAAACTATATTTATAATATAAATTTAGATTTATATATAATGTTGTTTTAGGCATAGTTCTAGGTTAGGTTAAGTAGGTTTATTTTGATTCCGAAGGCAATCTTTTATATATAAATTACTTGGGTAAAGCATTTTGAGAAGTTCAGTTCGAACATAGGAAGAGATTGAAGCACTTTTAAAAAATACTTCAAACATAATTAAGCAACCAATCCCAAGGCTCAGCCAATCATCAGAAAGAATAACCAAAATATGGTTAATCCAGTCGTCCAAACTCCCTCTTTTTTAATTAAAAACTCTTTAACATACAACTGATGACATTGAAACTTTTTTCGAACAGGGCTTCGCGATTCACACAGCCTCCTGTTTGAATCCCAACTCTGTAAATGCTTCACCCACGTACTACAAATACAAAGATTAACCAACAGAACCTAAACTCCTAACCTACCGTAATCCAGGCTTAACCGTACCCCAAATTCGAATATACACTCATTTATATTTGAGAAAATACTGATTTTGAGAGCACAGCAGATGAAACAGATTTGTGTTCATGGCGCCGAAAACTGGAGGCACATCCAAGTGATGCTTCTATTTTTCTGTGACAGTCAATATCCCTTTTGTCGAAACTTTCTCATGATCTTCGCTCAGTCGAAGCGTATTAGGCTCGTAGGCTTGCCTCCGGCAATGCTAAACCTCCCCCGACAGGCCGGAAGAGGAAGGAATATCTTCTCAACATTTTCAGGTCCTTGGAGGTAGCGAGCGGTGTCTGCCGGGGGAAGCTGTCTTCTCTGACGGTGACAAATGCCGCCAAGATGTTGGTAGCATAAAAGATTTCGGAATAAACTGCCCTGGACGGGGGCGAGAATTGTTTATTTTTGCATTCTTTCCACATTCTTTGGAGGGCGAGCAAGAAGAGGAGGCCGTATAAGGGATATTTCTTGGATATTTGAGAGATTTTGAATTATATATAATTATATAATTATATTACACAATTAAGTGGCAGTAAGAAGCACATGAAACTATGTCTCGTGAACAACATTGTTGCTTATAGGTGTAGTGTAAATAGTGTAAATTGGAATCATTTACTGACTCTCAGGAGTCTGTAACTGCTCGGTTGACTGCTCGGGTCGTAGCTCATCTCTTCCTTGGGTCGTTCCGTAGCTCTTCTATTCCTTGTCGTGGCGAGGTGCTTGGCGTGGCGTAAGTTCCTTGGTCGTGGCGTAGAGCTGCTCTATCTTTTTCGTGGCGCAGAGCTGTTCTATCTTGGTCGTAGCGTAGAGTTCCTCTTCCGTGGTCGTGGCGTAGAGTTCCTCTTCCGTGGTCGTGGCGTAGAGCTACTTTTCCATGGTCGTGGCATAGAGCTGCTCTTCCATGGTCGTGGCATAGAACTGCTCTTCCGTGGTCGTGGCGTAGAGCTGGCCAGCACTTGGGAACTGAAAATCGTCTCCTCAAGTGAGCGCAACAGAGAGGTGGCAGTTTTCTCCAGTCATAAGAACGTAAGATTAAAGAAAATAGCAGAACTTTAAAAGTTTTTCTTACAGAATTATTACATTTTACACATATGGTTTGCAATGGAGCCAGAAGTGGCTCCATTAGGCTCTCGCGTTAAGCTCTTGTCTCGCGTTAAGCTGTGGTCTCGCGTTGACCAGTGATCTCGCGCTAAACTCTTGTCTCGCGTTAAGCTGCGGTCTCGCGCAAAGCAGTGTGGCTGTTGTTTAGCTCAGCCCAGCTTTGGTACGCGGTATTCGAAACATTTTGCGTCAATACGACAAAAATAATTGTTACTAACCTATTTTTTGTTATTATAATTATTTTTTAAGGTGAATTATGTACCGGTACTTTGCCAGAATGATTTCTGTAACGCACCAGAGCGTTACAGGAATGCAAATGTGTTCGCCCTTTACATGACCAGAACGAACTTTAAGGCAATAACTAGAGATAGCTAGTTTTCAGAGAGAAGGATGACAGATATTGAGCGTTTGACTAGCATATCTTTACGCATTGCTAGTAGCATGTACTACAGCGGCATTCAGTACTGTAAAATAGGTTACGGATTTTATAAAAAAATATAAGTTAGGGCACGCTATAAGTAATTCTTATATATCGGTAAACGCGACTCTTGGTCGTAATGGTACTTACTTTCCGGCAATGTTGTGGTCGGAGGGCTGGTGGTGATGGTGGTGGGCAGAGTGGTAGTGGTAGTGGTAGATGTGGTAGAGGAGGGCGAGGCCAGGTCGATCTGGGGCAGTGTGGGGTCACTCTGAGCGGTGCTTCCCACCTTCCTCGCCTGCAGGCGGGAGTCGTCCACCTGGATCAGCTCGGCGTCAGCGTCGTTCTGGTCGTCGAGCGAGTCGTAGCCGTTGTCGTGGATGCTATAGCCGTCTCCACGACCCACCGCATACTGGGGCGATGGACCCTGCTCGCCTGTGGTTGATAAAAACTCCACGATTTGCATCGTAATAAAAGCAGTTCTCGTATCGCTGTGCCAGTTATCGATACGATTATCACTGGTAATTATATTAAACGCCCAACCAAAAAAATCTATGTTATTTCATTAGTCGTTTTTACATGAATTTGTATGTGATCTGTGTAATATTTTTAGTAATGGAAGATATTACCAGAAAGCATGTTTTAGCATAATTGTTTTCTTTTTTTAACATCCCAGATTAATGCATTGGAACTGTTCCATCAGTTAATCACATTTTTTGTTCCTTTTTCCCGTCTTTCTGTCCGTTTTGGTCATGGGTTCGACCAGCTCGTCCTACTGTCTATCCTTCCCTGGTCGTACGAATCGGCCTGCCCGTCTAAACTTGGTTATTGGGGTTGACCCTTCAACCCTTTCTACTGTCCCTCTAACCCTGGTTGCAAGGGTCGACCAGCCCAGACTACAGCCCGTCTAAACCTGGTCGTAGGGGTCGACCTCCCCCCCTGGGGGATGGGGGGGCGGGGTCGACCTGCTTACCTTGGTCGTGCGGGTCGACCTGCTGGTGGTGGTCGTCGGTGAAGGAGGACACCAGTATGTCAGCGTCCAGTCCGAGGTGCGCCAGGTGATACGTCAACTGCGACTCAACTGTTGACACACACACAGTCCTCACTTGAGACTCCGGCAGTGTGTGAGAGAGAGAGAGAGAGAGAGAGAGAGAGAGAGAGAGAGAGAGAGAGAGAGAGAGAGAGAGAGAGAGAGAGAGAGAGAGAGAGAGAGAGAGAGAGACACACACAGACAGATACTATATATATATGCAAGCCATTGAGTATACACAATAGCCAAAACATGGTAGTTAAGCACATAATATAAAGAGCCAAAAACAACGACTCCCAGAGTGCATATTTTAAACTACTACAAAATCTAAGTAATACAAACATTTAAGACAACTCCCAGCTAACCACCAAGACAAGATACATTCAGAAAAGTACATAAAACAGCTTCGTGAAGACAACGACTGGGGGACCGGTGGTGGAAAATGACAAGTAGGCGCCAAGAAACGCCAGCAGGGAGACAATAAATGGGGGGTAAGACAAGGCTTTTAAAAAGTTAGGTGAGTTTGTGTTGTGGAAGTTATCGTCAAAGCCTTCTTCCCAAAGACTTAAGATGCTCGCGCACACACACTCAACACACAATTATCATATTGTCTTCCATCTTCTTCTCCTCTTGTTTGTGGATTTTTTGGGGGGCTCTCACCCTCGCTCTCTACTTTATTTGTTGTTCTCGTTATATTCGAGGTTTTTGCATTTTTTTATATATTTATTTTCTCTTTGTTTAAATCTGTCTTTGTCATGCTTTTCTTGATCTTTTATATATATATTTTCTTCCCTCTTTCTCTTCCCTTTCTCGACTTTATTTGTCGCGAACTCTTAAAAAGTTCTACAAGATTTAGACGGAAATTTATTACCAAGACTTTTATACACTAAGACATAAAAACTATTTTATCTCTACAGCTTATTTTAATGACTCGACCCCGGTACTTCCTTGATTACAACGCGAATGTACTTTATTTTTAATTTTAAGAAACATGGAATGACAAGTTTTTCCTCTCCTCGATTGACTATATTTTGCAACGTTCTATTTGTGTAATAACAGTTCTAGAGAAGAGTCAGAGGAGACGGTCCTGGTGGCAGATGGCATCACGTCCTAGATAATAATGATAATAATGATAAGAGTAATAATGAAGGTGAAGGAACGACCCAATACTTGTGTAAGTGAATAATTTAAACCAAAGTTTTGGATGACACCTATACAGCCTTGATCAAGGTCGTGTTAAACACCTGTTAAACAGAACATTATTTAGAGCACCTTGATAAAAGATAAAGATTTCAGCCTAAAATTTGATTTAAAAATATATTTACACACATATATTTGGTCTTTCCTTCACCTTCATTCAAACACTACGGCATTGCAGTAAGTTTCTCAATAATAATAATAATAATAATAATAATAATAATAATAATAATAATAATAATTTATGCATCTTATACAATGGACAAGTTAAGGTAGTTAATAGTGCGTAAAATTCTCGTCATGCTGATATCATGCGTGTCCAATCTACGCAAATTACCAAATGAAAAATACGCAATTTGTTTAGTAAAAATAAATAATAAATTGTATTTTCTCAAACACACAACAAAATGCAAAACTCGTAATTCGGACTGACGCGCGCAGAAGACGGATAAGTAATTAAAATTCGCGAAAAATGCGCGATCTTCCTTCAGCTATACAAAACATATGAGGCGTTCAACTGACTTACGGGCTCACCATAGACCGTGCTACTCAGAACTTTGTGTTCTGAGTAGCTGAATCTAAAACCAGGCGTTCAACTGACCTACGGGCTCACCATAGCCCGTACTACTGAATCTAAAACAAGGCGTTCAACTGACCTAAGGGCTCACCATAGCCCGTGCTACTCAGAACTTTATGTTCTGAGTAGCTGAATCTAAAACAAAGCGTTCAACTGACCTACGGGCTCACCATAGCCCGTGCTACTCAGAACTTTGTGTTCTGAGTAGCTGAATCTAAACAAGTCGTTCAACTGACCTACACACGGGTTGCCCCAGAGGAGACGCTTCCAGGCCAGGCACTGGTTGATGTCCTGGAAGGCGCTGCCCTTACACACACAGTTGGTGTGGAGGTCAGTACCCAGGAGTCCCAGCATGGCCTTAGTGCACTCCTGGTGCTGGCCAGCGCACCGTCCCGTCATGGTGTCTGCTGCACACGACAGTTCGTAGTGCTCCAGCCTGTACCTGGGTGGTTAGTGGTTGTTAGTAACTGTTGTTGGCATGGTTAGTGGTTGTTAGTTACTGTTGTTGGCATGGTTAGTGGTTGTTAGTAACTGTTGTTGGCATGGTTAGTGGTTGTTAGTAACTGTTGTTGGCATGGTTAGTGGTTGTTAGTAACTGTTGTTGGCATGGTTAGTGGTTGTTAGTAACTGTTGTTGGCATGGTTAGTGGTTGTTAGTAACTGTTGTTGGCATGGTTAGTGGTTGTTAGTAACTGTTGTTGGCATGGTTAGTGTTGGTCAGCACTGCTCCTGTTGTTGACTTGTACACAGTTCCTAGTGCTCCAGCCTGTACCTGGGTGGTTAGTCAGAGTCAGTCAAGATTATGGCAGTTAGAGGTAGTTAGTAATGCTTGTTTCCAGTAGTTGTTAGTGATGGTTAGAGAAAAAAGAGCGTTGATAGTGATTAGGTTAGTGATGGATAACGGTGCTCCTATAAGTAAAACATTGTCATATTAGACTTGGTTAATGTGCTCTCTACACTTCTCATATGCGAATATAACTGAGTCAATAGAATGGTAGAAAATGTGATAAATAATCAAGATACGAAGCATGTCGGGAGAGATCTTATGAGAAGATGAGGAACAGCAACAAGGAAACAACAATGAGAAACAAAGGTGATGGTGAAGAACGTGAGCCGTGCGATAGTGAGAAGGAAGGCCAGGAGGGTGAAAAGAAACTAACATGAATGAGAAATGAGAACGCAGTAGACGACAATGATGAGAAATGTAATGTTGCGATAAGAATGAACGTAGAGGAACCATAGAAAGAAGCAGATAAAGGAGTTGAAGAGAGCGGATAACGAGTAGAAGGGAGCGAATAAAGAGGAGGAATATAAAGGAGCAGATAAAGAGGATTATAAAGTGAGAGGATACAATTACTGGGTTTGTGATGTGTCTATCGTCGCGAGTGAGACAATTACTGGGTTTGTGACATGTCTATCGTCGCTTGTGAGGCAATTACTGGGTTTGTGACATATCTATCGTCGTGAGTGAGGCAACTACTGGGTTTGTGACATATCTATCGTCGTGAGGGAGGCAACAACTAAGTTTGTGACATGTCTATCGTCGCGAGTGAGGCAACAACTGGGTTTGTGACGTGTCTATCGTCGCGTGTGAGGCAACTACTGGGTTTGTGACATGTCTATCGTCGCGAGTGAGGCAACTACTGGGTTTGTAACGTGTCTATCGTCCCAGTACGATAGGCTTTGTGGAGTACGATTGTGGACAAAGAAGTATGAGCAAGAATATCAAAGAGAGAAATACTACATGACTGAAGCAAAAGGAAGTCGTAAATGACTCTTTAGTTCATCAAAGAGTCGAATGGAAGACTGAAATTGACTGCGGTCTCTTTCCGCATATCTGCGAACCATTGGAGATGTTATACTCGAGCAGTTCAATAAAGCCGAAATAATGTGAGTGTTGGAGGCTTTTATAATGTGAGAAGTGCACAGTATTTGGGAAAACTTCAGGTATACCTTACCCTAGAGGAGGATACTGTGAACCTCGTGTTACAGCATTTGCCAATATTATTTGCACAAGTTGGGTCCTATGTTTGTGTTTCATTTAAATGTTGATGAATATGATGAAAGATTAAGCTTCTAATATAATGAGGATACTACACATGATATAATGAGGATACTCACCCATATATGATCTTCCTTTAGCCACATATGATTCTCTATCTTCACTACACAAGATCTTCACTACAATCGTCCTATTTCCGGGATTCATCCCACGATTCCATACTACCCGGGGGTTTCCAAAGACCACGGAAGCCCCACGGGGTACTTCGGGGGTCTCTGGGGGGTCACCCCAAACCCAGTAGCCCCATGGGGCCCTTCGAGGACTCGGGCCCGATGGGTTATCCCACACATTACAGCTCCTGGAACCCACAGGGGGACAGCCAACAACTTCTCCCTGGAGGATTAGTTCCACCGTGCCAATTGTGGTTGAATTCCGTTCAACTGGCCGTTCACACCTCACACACACGCGCACACACACAAGTTACCTGCAGACACGGTCGGAGCGACAGTCACGACCAAGGTTGTGACACTGTCGAGCAGACACGGACTCGGACATGTGGGCGCAGGGCGGGTGGAGCCGTCGCTGGGCCCTGGCACACTCCGTCTGCCCCTGCTTGGTCGTGTCCCTGAAGCAGCAGCAGCAGCAGCAGCAGCCACACCCACCGGGGCAGATCATACATTAAAACATAACGAAGAACATCGGATCTTCCGACACACATGAAGCTTTAAGCGTATAAACATACGCTTAAAGCGTATACCAAATGCATATAGACATACGCTTAAAGCGTATACCAAATGCGTATAGACATACGCTTAAAGCGTATACCAAATGCGAATAGACATATGCTTAAAGCGTATACCAAATGCGTATAGACATACGCATTTGGTTGATCCCTATCCTTCAGTATCCCAATGTACACCTGGGATATCCCTTCACACACACACAAGAGGAGATAAATTACATTTGTAAATAAGCTTTTCGAAATCATTTTTCGATTTTTTCCTAAACACCTTCGAGCGGAGTGTGAGACTCATTATGGCTGCGCGCAAGGATTATTATTGATTCTTATTTTTTTAATATGATATAATTTGAAAAATCAATACTTCTGGGTGTTTGTTTGGTGTTAAACGGAGAGTCCCTAGATGAGGACAACCACCAGATGAGGACAACCACCAGATGAGGACAACCACCAGATGAGGACAACCACCAGATGAGGACAACCACCAGATGAGGACAACCACCAGATGAGGACGACCACCAGATGAGGACAACCACCAGATGAGGACAACCACCAGATGAGGACAACCACCAGATGAGGACGACCACCAGATGAGGACAACCACCAGATGAGGACAACCACCAGATGAGGACAACCACCAGATGAGGACAACCACCAGATGAGGACAACTACCAGATGAGGACAACCGCCATATAATGACCACCTTCGTACAAAATAACCTTATGCACTACTTAAAGTTTAAGACACACTCCTTAATTCAGATTCTTTAAGACTTCATCGAATCTTCTAACGACATCATCCGAGAAACTTACACGTTTAAGTCGCTTCGTGATTACTTTCCTCCAAACAATTTGACAGTCGTCCATCTCTCAACGACAACTCAACTAATATCTGTCTCACAAAGTGTCATATAAGACATATTTCAGAACATGAGCAATGAGATAGCTTCTTCAAGGAAATAACTTCCAACAGCCATATCATCTTACAAGAGGTAACTCTCGGGAGTTTACTTTATAAGTAAACGTCTTTAAGACACAATCTCTCTCTCCCACTCGAACTCCTAGATAAAATTCCTCTAACGAGTTAGCAAAAGGTGCTAATAAAGACAAGGTCAGATTTGACCCAAAGTCCACTTGGGTCCGAGTGAACCAACTGACAATGTTACCGCAGCAAGTAACACTATATGGTCACTTTGTGTGAGCAAATCCACAAGGGCCGTGACGAGGATTCGAACCTGCGTCCAGGAGCATCCCAGACACTGCCTTAATCGACTGAGCTACGTCACTTTGTGTGTTTTCTGGAGTCAGTGGGAGGAAGGTGTCGGATTCTTCACGTCAGGAAAGTACTAGCCCGAAGCAGGCCTTATCATGGTCTATATATCAAGCATCTCTTCCAGTGCTAACTGAGAATATATTATTAATGCATTAGCATGGATCGTAAGCAACATTATCACTAGTACGCATCGCGGTGGTTTAGTTCACAACTCTATATTAACATCAGCATACCAGGATAAATTAAGTTTAAGGACGTTTCCAGACATAATAAATGAATGTAATGTATCTTAAAACAGCTTGATCACCACGAAACATACTGATATTTTGATACACATATATAAGCCTCATTAATTATAAGATTCGGGACAATATAGCACTAAAAGAATCTCCATAACAGTCTGAAATATTCGGAGAATCCTCACAGTAAGCAGAGCACAGGTGACGTAGCTGTACCTCTCAGGACATATGGCTTTTGAAGCACAGGTGATCTTATCCCTCCTGGGAAATAACTCTGAGAGCCGCATACCTTCCTCAAGGTACGGTTAAGAAGCATTACACCGGCCGAGACGTATGGTAGACACCCCACCTCCTGGTGCACACACACACACACACACACACACACACACACACACACACACACACACACACACACACACACACACACACCCTGCAAGCCCTTGCACTCCCCACTTCATGATATGGAAAATTGCAATAATCCTCTGGAGTGTTATTTAAGTAAGAGAATACGATGTCATGGAGACGTCAGCGGTAGAGTGCACCTCAGAAACTAAAGAGCAAGCAACCATCCGACTCCTGGGGTTGACGTCTTATCTCATTCTGCTTCATTCTTTGTGAATTATTCATTTACACTATAAACGACACAGATGTCTAAGGAGACGCTGGAATTAGCTATATTTACATGAACATAATTGAGGATATAAAATGAAACACAATTATTTCCCTGGGAAAAATTATGCACAATCAAAACTTTGCAACAGAAAAATAATAAAAATATTTTTTGAACATGCAATTAACCTCGTATTATGACTCATCCTTTTTTCCTTTACTACCTATATTATTAGCATCCTGGAACTACTTTAGAACATAAGGTAATCCAGGACCATTCTCAAGTCCATTGACAATCGACTTGAGAATGGTCCAGGACGGACCGAAACGTCGTCGTCCCTTCACCTTCTAGTGTGTGGTCTGGTCAACATACATTAGCCACGTTATTCATGGCCTGCATAAGGTAATCCAGCATTATAAGGAGTGGTGGAGAGGAAGACTGACCTGCAGACGCAGAGGGCGATCTTGAGGGCGAGGTCTTGGTTGGTCTCCAGCAGGAACTTGTAGATGTCCTGGATGGAGCTCCTGCAGGCGTCCTTGTGGCAGTAGGCGGTGTCGCAGTGGCTGCTCACCATCTCCAGGTGACTGACGAACAGAAAACACACACAGAAGGATGCAAGTTAATGAAAGGATGTAGTTTGTTGCACTCTGTAACTACTGCATTTTCATTCCGTTCTCAGTCAAACGAAGTGTAAGGGACATCAATGCAGAAAATGTTTGATGAATCGGGAAAAAGGAAATGAAATGAGTTAAAAAAAATTGCCAAAAATGTTGTGTTTGACTGGGTGAGATAAATTATGAAAATTGCGACAATAAACTTGCATAATGCCCATTAAAATGTAAAACAGGATTTAATGCTGATGATGACGTTATGTATGAAAGCTTTACTTCTTACACAAATTAAATCTCCTCCAGAATATGTATAAGCGTAGGACAGAATTTATTTAGAATTATTTGTTGATATCTTAACCAAAGGCGCAGTTTGACGGGCAGAAATACACATATGCGTTAGCAAACAAACACTCACATAAACACACATTAATACAATATCGAGTGTCTAGCACATAGATTCCCCCTCAATACTAACTGATAAAAATCTTCAATGATATACTCCAGGAGTGATATCTTAAGGCTTATAAGCTTCACTATCAAACACCGTGAAACCAAGATATCTTAAGGCTCATAAGCTTCACTATCACATATCGTGAAACCAAGATATCTTGAGGCTTATAAGCTTCACTATCACATACCGTGAAACCAAGATATCTTAAGGCTTATAAGCTTCACTATCACACACCGTGAAACCAAGATATCTTAAGGCTTATAAGTTTCACTATCACACACTGTGAAACCAAGATATCTTGAGGCTCATAAGCTTCACTATCACACACCGTGAAACCAAGATATTTTAAGGTTTATAAGCTTCACTATCACACACCGTGAAACCAAGATATCTTAAGGCTTATAAGCTTCACTATCACACACCTTGAAACCAGCAGAAACCTAAAATAAGGTTCGGTGATTTCCCAAGTGTCTCACCTTCGACAGGTTGATTCAGCCATACAGTCCTCGAGGGCAGACTGACAGGTGCCAGCCACGTGCTTGAGCTGCTCCAGCGACACGTTGTGGTCAGACTCTGTACCGCGTCACCAGCGGGGGAAGAGGAACAACAACATTAACAAAAGAGGGGTGGGAAGTGGAATCATAAGTGAAGGTAATGTATGGGCCTTTTTGTCCGGTGAAATTAACATCTTGCTTTTTGCAGTGGATTTTCAAATCATTAAAAAATATTGATTGCAATACTAACGTGGTTCTTCATTTTATCTTTGTTATATCTATCAGTTAAATCAAATGTAACAAGTCATTAGTGATTTGAGAGAAAAGAGATTATTTAAACACATATAATGATTTATCACAAATTAATTACAACTGCTCCTTTTTATGAGTCATACATTACCCCAAAAATATCGCGCGAGTGAACAAGCTACTTCTGGTTTAAATACTGTCAACAGGTGTTATAGTGTGTGCAGGAGAAGCAGTATCTACTGTAGGTGGTTGCTGAGTGCGTCAGGCAATGCTGTGCTCCTAAACCCCACCATGCTTGCTCCATGCCTTCACGTGACTCAACACGTTACACAAACCTGTACACATGAGACATCTTTCTTCTCCTAGAGCGATTGTGATTCCTTCGTGGTGGATATGAGGTTGGGGAAATGGGGATTGGGTCAAGTTGTGGGGGATTGGAGTAGGTCATGTTGGGGTGGGGCTAGGATATTGATGCTTGGTTAGTAGGGGGGGGGGCCATATTGTTGGGTACACACACACACACACACACACACACACACACACACACACACACACACACACACACACACACACACACACACACGGACGCTCAGGGTTTCTCAAAATCTCAAGAATCTTGCAGGTGATTTATATCTGTTTTATCATAAAAAAATATTTACATAGTAATATTAACATGCATGCGATAGCATTTAGTGGTTTAATTAGACTGCTTCCAGCTTTAAAACAACATCAAGCCCATTAGTGCTTCAATGATGCAGGCCGGTGATTTAAAACAACAATTGATGACAAAAAAACTGACTCGAATGTCAGCTCCATCTACTTCTACCACGTTTCTGACCACAGGAGATCCACCTCCTAATGTCCTGGGTGAAGACCAGGGGTCAAATAGTTATGGTTTTAGTTATCTTGTTGAGTTGCTGAAGAAGACAGTAGGTGACCTCCTTGTTCATGCCTTCGTGGACCTGCCGTTGTTGTATTTAAGGGGATGGAGGGGGGAAAGGAGAATATAAAGAGGTGCAGGCGAAGGAAAAAGTTTATATATATGAAATATACAGAGCGAGCTGTGATAGCACGTGTGCTATCCGCCTTGCTGACACGGTGTATATTGGTTTATATATATATATATATATATATATATATATATATATATATATATATATATATATATATATATATATATATATATATATATATATATATATATATACATGTCCACAGTTGACTATTGTGCAGCATCCACTAGTACACACTCTGATGCCTTGTGTTATATACATTAGAGTTGCTTTCCTCCTCTCTCGGGGGGAGGATTATGTCGTGGGCGTGATTGTCTTTGAGTATGTCCAGGACCTGAGGTCACCAGCTGAGGGGATGGGACGTCTCAACTCTTACAGTGAGTCTTCAAGCATTTTGACCTTATTCCTCAACCTATAATGACTTCTTGTTGTAGTCTGATGTTCAGTGATTGTATATTTAGTCTGATGTTCAGTGATTGTATGTTCAGTCTGATGTTCAGTGACTGTATGTTTAGTCTGATGTTCAGTGATTGTTTCAGTGATTGTATGTTCAGTGATTGTATGTTCAGTCTGATGTGTGTTCAGGATTTCATGGTGCTCCTCAATTACTTTATCATGCGGTCAGACTACAACAGCAAACCGTCATGGTGTGAAATACGATCGAAATGTTAAAAGACCAAATGCTTGATAGACCACAAGAGGATGAATCATCCCACTCCCACAGCTGGTGGCCCAAGAGCTTGGATGTACTCGAGGGCAATCAAGCCCCACAATACAAAATTTCAAGAAGAAATACAGACTAGAAAAACCCACAAGAGATCGAAAAACAAAACCTAAACTAGAAACAGAGCATTCACATATGTACATATAAACTTCCGAGTGTGTATGAGTGAATGCTAAACAGTATTCGTATATAGACATTCATATATGTTGAAATAATTGAAACGTCAGAGTATTAGCACCCTGACAAGAGAGAAGTTTAGCTTGACATTTATACACATGTACACTGTGTCAGCGAGGCGGGCAGTCCGCTTGCTATCATAACTAACTCAACATTCCACATATATAGAGTTAATTCCCCTTTCTTTAGGACGATTTCAGCATCGTGGAGACCTGCTGCATGGGTAACAGCATCAAAATGGCGTCACCCCCCTACTCCTGCCCTACGCCCATTTCTCAATATAGCGTCACTAACTCCTAACCCCAATATAGCGTCTCTAACCTACTTTCCACACACACACCCCTCCTAACCCGACTATAAATTTGGTCTACTCGATACAGCCATGCTCTCGCTTAATGCAGGGTCGGCGATCGATCCCCGATGGTGCAAAGGGTTGAGTACCGTAATCATATCCCAGTTCCTTGTCCTTATACCTTCTTCTAAGTATTATATAATCACACTGGCTTCGCGCTTTCTGCCTATTATTACATTATTTTATTTCATTACCTTGTCCCAACAAATATACCTAATATATAATATATATATATATATATATATATATATATATATATATATATATATATATATATATATATATATATATATATATACCTAGCCAGTAACCACAACCAATATACCTATTCTAAGCACATTCTTCTTAACAACTTGTGAATGATAATATAACCTGTACTATAAACTGAATATGCCACACGGGATATAAAACAAAAACAAATAAAAACATCAAGCAGTTAAAAATATATTATACAATGTATCAGGTGAAAACCATTAACGAGCCATGAATAAATTAGTTGCTCTGCGGAATAAAAAAAAGGAAATATCGGCATTGTTTGTTTTTTTGGACACGTGACGTCACTCGTGGGATGGTTACTGTACACACACACACACACACACACACACACACACACACACACACACACAACACTGCACATAGGGACAAGCAAATCATTATAACAGGGGTGCCAACTTTTGAGTGTGTGTGTATATGTGTGTCTTGGCTTACTGTGGTGCAATCTACTACATCCTGAGAGCAGAAAGCTGCAAAAAAATATATATTTTTGCACATATCTGCATCTCCCCGATGACTTAACTACTTTCAATACTTCTTGATTTTTAAAATGGCCTCATACTTTTTTCCTTATTTGAAGTTTTTTTCAAAATTGTGCGAGGATTGAGTTCACTGATCGCAAGTCTGAAAAGCTGAATTCGCGTGCACATAACGCGCAATGCGCGAGAGTTGGCAACCCTCTTATAGACTTTATGCTGTTAAACAACTCATAAAAAAAGCACATATAATGCCCCTCATCCATTAACCTCAAAGTTACCATCAAACTACCATTTATATCCCTTTCCGAAGAGGTGTCTCAGACTTCACTCTTTATTTTAATCGTCAAAATTTAGAGTTTAATTTTAAGAGAAGCAATTGGGAAGCTGTGCTTGAACAACTATATGGCCTCTGGCCACTACCATTAGCTTTCAACAAGTACGTGAAGGCTTCCAAACACTTAACATCCGCCCACTCTAGTGCTCTTGCTAGGTGAAGTGCTGAGTGCAATGTGAAGTGCTGGGTGCAAGGTGAGGTGCTGGGTGAAATGCTAGATGCTAGGTGGAGGTTCTGGGATTGGAAGGTGCTCATTTGAGGTGCCGAGGGCGGGAGGATTAGTCTTGTGAAGGGGTCAACAGGTGGGGGCAAGATCATGCACAGAGTGTTCCAGTGATGTTTGTAAGAGTCTACGACTGGAGGTGCTGAGTGATGCTGTGTTGGGCGCCTGTGAAGCATAGGAACAATGTGTACATGAGAGAGAGAGAGAGAGAGAGAGAGAGAGAGAGAGAGAGAGAGAGAGAGAGAGAGAGAGAGAGAGAGAGAGAGAGAGAGAGAGAGAGGCAGATAGATATAGAAACATAGATAGAAAGACAGACATAGAGAGAAAGTAGGACAGCTGAGAGAAGAAAGTGCACACGACTTTCCTTGAGAGACGTCGCCTGCTCTACCGAAGTCTCGACCTACCAGTAGAGGCAGACTGGTAGCTGGCCGCTACAGGTGTGAAGAGAACCATAGACATCAACATTACCACTAATACATGACCTCTAGTGTAAATGAAAGCTAAATATTTCTTCTATTCATCAATACGAAGTCAAATTCAGTTATGAGATTAATCAAGTTCAGCTCTACTTAACTGTAGTTATTATCTGAAATTTCCACACAGTGAGCCAAAATGAGACAAGTTTACGAAATGTTACAAAAGTGCTTTAAATCATATGATAGAAAGATTGAAACTTGTAATTTTACTTTTGTGTGTTAAGTAGCAATCATCATTCTATGGATGAAACTGTGTTATTCATAACTTAACCTAATATTTATACTTGTGTCTGTTCCTGTATGTGAGTAAGTGCAGGTGTGTGTGTGTGTGTGTGTATGTATCTATGTATGTACGTGCGTCTACGTATGTACACACATATATATATATATATATATATATATATATATATATATATATATATATATATATATATATATATATATATATATATATATATATATATATATATATATATATATATATATATATATATATATATATATATATATATATATATATATATATATATATATACTGTAAATACCAACACACGTGGCTCTGTACCTTGGCTGTGAGTCACATCTGTCTATCACGGTTCGCCAGAATAAGTTCACTGTTTTCACATCGAAATTCTAAAGTTATGTGAAAACAAAATTTTACTCAGAGAAATTATGACACATTACATGTACTGAGCCGAAAAGCTGTGTGTTAACTAATAACACAAAATAGATATAAAAAAGATAAACGCTTCTCAACTGTCTGAGATGCTTCTGAACTTGATACACATAGCTGCGTATTACGTGTAAGTTTATGTTTGT